CAAATGCATTGGAGCAGGAGAATGATCAGGTTCCCACTCAGAAGACCTATCAGCAAGTGTTAGAACCTCAGAAGATAATGATCTCCACTCCTAGTTCTCCCTACCTTCCCAAGCAATTTGCTCTCTCAAGCCATGCACTGTGCAGAAATATTGGAGCAGACTTCTTTTAGAGAGTAGTGGGGAATTTCATTGCTATGTTTTATCATTAATGGAACATTATTTTTTATTGCCCCAAATCTTCTAATCCCCAAGACCCTTACTGCCCCAGGTTCACTGTTACTCTGTCATAAAATGGGTAATTAAGGCCTGTCAGAACAATTTCGGTGTAGATGTGTTGTTGCTGGTCAATTATGATTGGGTCATGTGTCTGAGTTTTGGGATTCAGTGTTATCTGCAGCCCTGTGCTGCCCCTCTCATCACAATTCCCAGGCCCTGAATTCTATGATGCTCTGTCTTTCTATGTGAGTGGTGCTGTACACGTTGAACAGATGGATACCAACTGAGGTAGGGCTTCCAGGACACTGACAAGATAAAGTAAATTCCAGATCTAAATTCTCTCTGAAGAACCACAAAAAGCTTAAGGGGTTCTGAGGCAGAAAAAGTCATCTTGGGGTTGTGGCTCAGTGGTAGAGAGCTTGCCTCTCACACATGAGGCACTGGGTTTGATCCCCAGCACCACATTTAAGAAAAAAAAAAAAAAAAAAAAACTAAATAAAGGCATTGTTTCCATTTACAACTAAATATTTTTAAAAAGTCATATTGGCCTTAATGTTATCAACATGGAGCAAAATCAGACATGAGGGAGAGAAGACTCTACAGACAGGGCCTTCCTGCCATCTGGAATGACATTTTTTTAAAATATAAATAATATTTTATTGATTTAATTTTTTAAAATACATGACAGTAGAATTCATTACAATTTTTATTACACTTAGAGCACAAGTTTTCATATCTTTTTATATAAAGTATGTTTATGCCAATTCATGTCTTTATACATGTACTTTTTGTTTGTTTGATTTTTGTTTTGTTTTGTTTTGATTTTTTTGCATGACAGTTCTTTTTTTTCTTTTTTCTTTAGCATTTTCTTTTTTTATTTGTTTAATTAGTTACACATGACAGTACAATGATCTTGACATATCATACATTTGAATCAGATGGGGTATAATTTCTCATTTTTTCTGAGTGTACAGGTTGCAGAATCACATTGGTCATGCAGTCATGTATATACCCATAGCAATAATAATGTCTATTTTATTCTCTTGTCCTTCCATTCCCGCCTTCCCCTCCCATCACTTCTCTCTACCCAATCTAATGTGACATACTTCTTTTTTTTTCCCCCTCACATCATCATACATGTATTCTGTATAACAAAGAGGGTCTCTTTCTGGAATGACATTTTTGACAAGCTATTGTTGTCAGGTTAGTTCATAGGCTCACACAGGCTATGCCATCCCAGTCTTCCTAGCCCTCCCACTCTCATTTTCAACTGAAAGTGGCCTTAGAATGGGTATGTAAGTCACACAATTTCACTTCACAACTTGCCCCATCAATAGGAGAGTCAAAATATTCTCATGGGGGGGCCACTGAGACAAAATGGTTTCATTTATGCTGTCCAGTGTGTACTGGTTCAGTATGTGGGGATTATACTGTAGTCTCCTTCTATACCATTTGGTAAAACATCACAGGCCTGAGCCCTATATAGGATTCCTGACCCTTTTTCTTGTTCTCCATGGACTCCCCATGATCCCCAAACTGAAAGCTGAAGGCTTAGCAAGCAGAGATGTTCCATGATCCTTCTTTGTTCAGTGGTGAGGTATCATCCATTCTTAGTTGGTCCCATGCCATTCCAGTGATTAAATCTCTTAAAATATCATCTTTCAATTGTGGGTAGAGCTTTGAAGACCTTGCCTCTCTGATCAAGAGCATGTCCTGGTTGCCACAAAATGGTGTCCACATACTCACCTTTCTTCAGAGCTGTTAGATGGTAGGCAGAAGCTCTAGCTGACTTACTGATATACATTAAGCAATAAGACTGGTCTTTTGACCCTATATACTTTCCCCATCCACCACTTACATTATTCAGTCTTTTGGATTTTTGAAGGATTTGGAGGAAGAAAAGTGGGGATATTAATGTTTCTTCCTGCTAGACAAAGTCGTTGGAGAAGAGTCACATCCTAAGCCTTAACACTGACCTCACTGAGATAGCATCATGGTGGTGACTAGAAGGAAGGGACCACAGGGCATCTTGGTGGGGAGATACCAAAGACATATGCATGTCCACTTCACAGACTACTTGATCTCTACCATCAGCACTAGGCTATAGGATGGCAATAGGGTTTTGGTAGCAACATTCACACAGTTTCACTTCCTGTGCAAGAAGAGTCTTTACTCTCCAGTGTTTCCCAAACTTTTCAAATTACAAGAATCATTTGGGCACTTGGCAAAAATGCTAATTCCCATGATCATTCTCAATGATCTATGAGATAGCAAGTTTGAACAGGATCCAAGATTCTGTTTTTGACAACAGCTCCTTATGAGTCTTCTGACAAGGTGCCTATGGTAAATGCTGTGTTCATGTTGGTTCTTGATTTTCCTTTTCTTAGGTTTGGACTGCCAACAGTTTCTCAGCTCCTAGCCACTCCTAGTTAATCTCCTCATAAGCAGTGAAGTGATGTTGCCTCAAGGATAGCGAGACACTTAGGTGCCCGAGGCAGCAGCAGGAAGAAGATGGAGAGAATGATTAGATATTGGGGAGGCCCAGAGGTGTGAGGAAGACTTTGATGAGAAAAACAATTACTTAAATGTTACTTTAGGAGCTAAGTTGTTTAGAGAACTGGGAGCACAATTCTTCTTTGGTGAACATAATTCTTTAGTCAACAAAAAAGAGCAACATAATTCCCCCAGTCACTTTTATGCATATCAATACAGAGATATCTGTGTGTGTATGTACACACACGCTCATGTACACATTTATGGGAGTTTCCTAGGAATTCAGTAAGAGTGGTTGTATTTTGGAGGACCTGAAAATTACACTGGTTACAAAAGTAGTAGAACTTTATTATTTACCCTCTAGAATGTGCATAAAATGAACTCCACTGAGTTCTGTGAGAATTCAATAGTGTAAACTGTGTGTGCATATACAAATTTACCACTTAGGTGCAGACTTACAGGGTATAAGCAATAAGTGGTCAACTTTTCTAAGCATACACACAAGGATCTGAATGTCAAGGTGAATGATCTTACCTTCAAAGCATTGCACAAAATATCCTTGGAAACCTTTGGAGCTATTTTGGGGTCTTCTTTTCAGGGATGACAAACCATACATTGGTGGTTTGTCTCCATTCTAAACTGTGTCTTCAGCAACCAACCAAGTTGGAATATTCCAATTATGGTCAAAATTTTGATATAAGTGTAAAGGTGTAATGAGGATGATTTGCTTGTATGGTTTGAAAATGAGCCCTGAGAGCATTCTCCTAAAATAGCTTTCTTTGTTGTACCTGTGGATGTCCCAAATTTTCACATACTTGGGCTAGTGGGGAAGAAGTGAGGACACAGATAGTTTAGAAAGGGACTATATCCTTTTTGTTCAAAGCCATTTTTGACACTTCAGATTATCATTGCCATCACCATTATCATTCATCATCATTATTATCTTGCCTTTGTTTATATTCAACTAAACTATCATTTGATTTGGGGAGAAGTTGTGTGTGAGAGGCTCAGAACCTACTGAATAGTAGGCAAAATTGTTTTTAATGTTAATTGCATTCATGGAATAATCGACCTGGGTTATTTCAAAGTGACTGAGACTGTGTGTGTGTGTGTGTGTGTGTGTGTGTGTGTGTGTATGGGGATGGGTGGGCTAGGGTGTGTGTTAAGACAGAAAGTAGAAGAGCTGCAAAGATGACTTCAGGAAGCAGTGTGGTTGAGTGGACAGCTGTGATGTGACCAGTGAGTATTTACACCTGGAACTAAATACAGAATATTGTATCTCTAAAGATTCCAAAGGTTTTCCTAAAACTATAACCAACAACAGGGGGAAAAAAAGATACCCGGATTCCAAGGATCTCACGATGGTGCTGAAAACCTATGACACCAGCTTCCTGGACTTTCTCAGAAGGTGTTTGGTGTGAGTTTGTTGGGGTGTCTCTTAAGTACTGGGTTTCCTCTTAAGTACTTGTACTTTTGCATGTGTTTGCTGGTGAAAGTCTAAGACTGGGAGATGGTTATAAAAACATCAATGGTAGAGTTTTGCAGTCTCCAAATTGCTTTCATGTCTGCCTCATGAAACAGTGCTCTCCCCCTACTGTGTGATGATCAGGGCAGATATCTGCTGTATTTTGCAGATATGCAGCTGGATTCCAAGAGAGATTTGGTGTAGATTACAGTGTGTGTTAGGATTTGTCATCTTCTTGACCTGAAGCTGCATGCCAGTGAGATTGTAAGCAAATCCTAATGTCTTCTGTTTCTTGAATGGAAGGCAACCTCTTCAGTGAGCCTATTATAACCAGTATATACTAGGTTCAGAGCCCCTCTCTATTCCCCTAGGATTCAGTGCCCAAATCCTCTTGCATTAGGGAACTAGAGGACAGGTGAGTTGTAAAACATTTATTATGTACAACTTTTACAATCTATATGCATATTTTGAATCTTAAAAATTAGGTTTTGTACTTTGATCAAATCACAATGAAAAAGGAGTTACCACACGAAGCACCCAACACAGTGTACAGTTTGTAAGGTTCTTGGAAAATGTTGGCTATTGCTTCTATTTTACTATTAAAGAAGTTTCTCAAGTCCATCTCCACTGAGTGCAAGTATCAGCTGAGTGCTGTTCGACAAGTTATCATTTCTCTCTGGGCCTCAGTTTCCTTTTCTATAAAGTGGGGGCATTCCTAAAGTACCTTCCATCTCTATCAGTTCTACAGTTGTTTAGTTTTAGAAGACCATATCTTTATTATTCTCTCATTATTCCAGTGGAGTAATTTTAGCAAAATACTTCTTTGGCATTTGTGCATTCTGTAATTTAGGTTCTAGCTTAGAGGGAAAACCATCAGATACCACTGAAAATATTTTCATCTATGGGAGTTATACTATTTACTTCTCTGAATAATTGAGATAAGGATTCTGTACCCCATTTTACCAACATATCCCCCAGCTCCATGCTCAGTGCCTTAATAAGTGCCAGAAACTGCCCAGTGAGACAGGTGAGTTGTCTAGAAACCCAGCCATCCTGAACACAGCTTAGCACAAGAAAAATATTATTTTCTTTTTTAGTGTAAAACATCAATTGCTCACGACTTTTAAGAGATGATTCAAGTTGATGGGGGTCTACTCCCTAATCTATATATTGCTAATCAGCAATTTATGGAGTGAGAGACTAAATTTTTTTAGCTAAAGTCAATAGGATTAGTAAACACCTAGCTTTATGTGCAGGTTTTATTGGCAGGCTCCAGAAGTCCAGAAGAGGGGAGATGAAGTTTAAGAAGCAGTTCATTTGACAAAAAACTGGGAGCTTGAATTGCTCATGCCTTTGAGTCTGGACTAGTAATACCATCTCCCTGCAGTTGGCAGCTATTCATTCCCAGCATGATGGACAATATCTAGAATTTCCTACCTTGGAAGGTGGTTAGATGGTGGAAACTACTAACTATGACTAATAGTAGTGATGTCTTTTCTGGTAGTTGAGGGACTCTGACATGTAAGATTATTTTATTCTGTAAAATGCTAATGGGTAGAATTAGGACCTGGGTAAAATTCACTGAAAAGTGAGCCAATTTTGGTCCAATAAAAATCAAGAACTTTTAAAGAATCAGAGTTTTTAAAAATTGGAATAGGAGGATCTGTGACTTTACTGCCAAGTTACTGATATTACTTGAGAATGGCTAGGTAATTCTATGTTGGGAATTCCGTCAAATGCATTTTATTACTTTGTTAGAAGTTTGCCTGTATCATATCCAAGTCGCCTTATAAATCTTAATATTCTAAAATTCTATAATTTCCTTTATGATATATATGGAGGTCCAAATCCCACATCTTGGGAATTGAAATTAAATATCTGTTTCTAATCTTTTTAGCTTATGAAATCCTAATTCCAAATAGGTAAGGTTTTTAAATAATACTTCTTGTAAGAAAATTTCTAGAAATCTAGAAAATTTGAAATTTAATAAATTCCCCAGCTCCCATACAATTTTTTTAAAAAATTTGTTTCTAGTAGTTGTTCTCAGATACTTTTAAATTATTTGATATAATCTTTGTTCTGTGATAATATATTTGAGATTAGGACATAGCTCAATGAAAATATCTTTATTGGGTTCTTAAAATTATTTTAATATTAAGAGAAAATAAAAGAGTAATCCATGCCAGGCTTTGTTGATGTGCAGATGGGAACCTTCTCTTCGTATGACCCCTGATCAGGCCCTCAAGCATGCTTGGATTCATGAGCCACGGAACCTCAAACCACGGCCCAGGCCCCAGTCCCTGAGGAAACCCAATGTCTCTCTTCCTTCTGAGATAAGCAAGAACAAGGTTCAAGAGTATCATCACTCAACCAAAACAGGTATAGCCCTCAGCCAGACAGTCCTCTTCCCATAGTTCAGGGAGTCAGGTTCTTCTAGAGGAAGGTCAATTTCTTTGAACTTTGTCTTGGATAATTTATTTCTGGCTATGACATTATTAGTCTGCCCTTTCTTATTTTGAGAATTTTTCTTTTTCAAGAAACTTGGCTTTTAGCCATAGCCACCCACCCGCCTTATGAGGGATTTTCCATTTTTCTCCCATATTCAATCCCTTTTCTATTCCTTCCCTTTTCTTTCACTGTGTCTGCCTCTTTATGCCCTATAATTACCTTTTGAATTTTTATCAGTGACAAATTCTAGGATTATGCAAATCTTTTACATGTAATATAGCTTAGTGGTTAAGCATAGGCCACTGGTATCAAAGTACTTGGGATGAAATTCTGGCTCTGTCACTTACCAGGTGTGGGCTCCTGGATAATTTACTTAACCATGATGCAGATCCATTTGCCTATTTTTGAGAATGAGAATAATGCTTATTCTGTAGTGCTGCTGAAAAGATCAAATGAATCAGTAAATGTGAAGTGCTTAGAATGATGCCTGGAACATTAGAATGTGCTTTACAAATGAACTATTTTTATTATATCATTATAACCACAATTTTCCCAAAATGATTTACAACCTAACAAAGTTAGAATATGCAGTCATTCATATTTGAACATCATTCCGTCTTTTCCCTCCTTTGGCAGATGAGACCACCAAAGAGACTGCAGACAAAATAAAAGATGGTGCCACTAAGAATGTTCAGAATTCAGCTGATCAGCAGGACTCTGTCCAGCACACTACTGAGACTGTCCAGCTGCCTCCTCTAGTAGAAGCTCCCAGAACGCCAGAGGCTGTTACTGAACCAGAGGTGGCCAAACCCTCCACAGAACAAAGTGGCCCAAGCTCCTCCTCTAGTAATACAAACATTTTACCATGTATTGTATGACCCTTGCTGAAGGGTCCTGTGTCCCGTTCCTTTCCAGTGATTTGTATTCAAGACAGCACTTATATTGTACAATACTTCAGATTGTTGTTTTTCAATGCATAAAGGTTTGTTTTTAAAAAATCAACTCTCTCTTCACATAGACAATTGGCCTGATTCCTCTTATGAATGATGTGGGTGGATGTCCTTATACCTGAACTCACTCTTTAGCTGTGTGTGTGTGTGTGTGTGTGTGTGTGTGTGTGTGTGTGTGTGTGTTTTGGGGGGTAGATTTAGTATCATTAATGGTACTTTAAATAAATTTTTTTTCTTTTTGCCCATGATTGTCAACCTATATCTATCAGAATTTTTGTTTGGAAATAACAAAAACTAAGTTCAAATTAGTTTAAGTAATAAGGGACATTTGTTTTCTTATGTCACTGGGGAATCAGGTGGGGTAGATGCAGTTTCAGGCACAGCTGTATCTAGGAATTCAAATAAGGTCATCAGAGCTCAGATTAACCTTGCTACTTTTTCCTCTTCTTTCTCTTTCCTTCTTCCTGTTCTTTTTCTCTTCTGCCTTGATTTTCCTATATTTAGCTTCATCCTGATGACTGAAGACTCATCCCAGAAGTTAAGATGACTACCAACATCCAGTCAAAAGATAGTCTTCCTTGCTGGCAGGGAAGTCTCAAAAATGACTGTATCTCAACTGTATCTGAGAGACTGTGGTCCTCTGTGGTTCTCACCTGGATTATAAGCCCACCTTGTAGTTGTGTTGAAAATGCCATGACTGTTGCTTCTCTAGGAAGGAGTAGGGGATAAAGTGCTTCCCGAAGGAGGGAAGTTGATTTCATAAGCAGGATATTTTCATTCATCCACCACTCCTCAAATCCAGTAAAGTCCACTTATTTCCCTTCTCAGTTCTATCTACATAAACCACAATTTCTATATGGTTGTATCACAGGACAAACAAAATATGACATGAAACTTAAGATCATAAACAACATGGAAAATATATCTGGCTTCATAGTTTCCTTTAAAAATACTACATAATATTCTAAAAATGGTGATATCAAGTAGTCGAAGCCATGGATTTGGAAGAGATCACCTAGGGAAGAGGACACAGGATAGCAAAGAGTCAAGAGAAAGTCCGGGTAGGATAAAATTACAACATGACAGAGTAGAGCCCCTAAGAGACCTAGAGAAATAGGAGGAAAATTAGAAGACAAAGAGGAAAAAGTTTCTAGGAGGGGAAAAAAGATCAAAAACATTTCTAGGGAGGTGGGTAAGAATGGAAAATGTTTTAAGTGGGGTGTCACGAGCATTTAGTCAGAGCAGTGCTATAACTTGTCCTCGGTTCTATAGCCAGAAGGTCACAGAACTGGCCAGAGAACTCAGGTCTTGGGAACATTTTTTTCCCCGTGTTGGAGACTGAACCTAGGCCTCTCTTTCATGTGCAACAAGTACTAAGCTATACCCTCAGCCTTGAGGAACCTCTTTGGACACCATCTTCAATCATGAATAAAGTTGGAGGTTGACTGGGGTTCTGCCGCTCAGCAGACCCACAACAAGAAGTAAAGTCTAGAACATATAACTAGACTGATTTTGTTTGGATATTAGAAACTTTTTTTCTCATTTTCATGATTATAAAAGGTAAAAATGAATTCTTGACAAATTGTGGCTTATTTTAAGGCAAGATTTAAAATGAGGGGAGTTGTAAATTGAGGCACACAGACAGGAGATATATAGCAAACATCAACCTTTGTTGGTGTCTCTCGGTTCAGCATAATTCTGCTTGCCTCTGCCATTTGTTTCTTTTTTTCACTCCTAAGATTTCTGGACCTTATTGAATCTTTACCCTTCAGATGCCAAGAAAACCAAATACACGGAGCTCTTTAATTTTTTTTAATTTTATGTCCTTGCTCGCATGGACAGGAAAATGTGCAAAATCCAGTGACTAGCATTAGATGACATGTCTTTCATGTGAGTGGTATGAAGATAACGTTAGGGCTCTGTGAGGATAAGGACAAGGGAGCTGTGGGAATGAGGGGAGAGTGGGTGGGGCAAGGGCTGGGCCCACTGCTGGAAGAGGGGATGCAGAGAGTGGGCATGATCACAGGTTCACCATCAGCCAGTCCAGCAGCTGCAGCCGTGTGACATTTCCCACCGCCTCATTCAGCTGTCGCTCCTTCTCATAGCGCAGCACCGACTGCAGAACCTCCCCTACGCTGCGTCCCTTGTCTACAGCAGCAGCCGAGAGCTGAAGTAGCTGTGGAAAGCAGAGAAAACAGCAGTGGAGGGGCCAAGGGTCCCCAGGCAGTCCAGAAACAACATGATACAGTTAGAACCAGGAGGCCAGGTTGACTTTGGGAAAATACAGCAGCAGGGACACAAGTTAGATGTTGAGAAGACTTCCTTAAGAGCAGTTTGTCAGTCTGTTTGGCAGAAGGAAGTTGGTGTTATCACTCTTAATTCAAAGAAAGATGTTAATATCCACTGTCCATGACATATAAAATGTGATTTCTCATTAAGACAAAAATTTTCCCTTTATTCCCCTCTGAATAAATGCTTACACTGAATGTTCATTAATAGTGTTCTGCCCTCTAGGAATTCTAAAGTTTTAAACCCTAATAACATAAAATAGTCTCTATTATCATCCTAAGACCAACAAGAGTGAGAGAAACATATCCAACAGACAAACGTGGATACTGCTTTCCATGCCTCATAGACCAGAGAACTCTAAAATGGTATTTCAGGAAAGCACCTCCGAGATCAATTTGACCTCAGCAAGATGTGACTGAGAGAGGGAAGAGACTTATCAGAGTGACACTGCTAGCACTTCACAGAACCAAAATTCACACTTAAACCTTAAGTTTATTACTCTTTCTGAACACAAATTGAGGAAACCTAGTTGAGACAAGCATTCTAATATGAACACAGTAAAGGCAACAAATTATTTCAAGTAGTAGGATTTTTGTGCATTCTGCTCCTGGTTCTTTATAAGACATGCCTGTAATCCCAGCTACTCAAGAGGCTGAGACAAGAGGGTCACAAGTTCGAGGCCAGCCTGGGTAACTTAGCAAGACCTTGAATCAAAATTAAAAGGGCTGGGGATGTAGCTCAGTATAGAGCAACTTGCCTAATACAAGTGAAGCTCTGAGTTCAGTTCCCAAATTCCCTTCCTCCCTTTAAAAAAAACAAGGAAAAGGAAGAATAAGTCTAAGGTTAAAATACATGGGGCAAATATCATGAGCACTTTCAGGAGGAGATATTTTTATGTGAGAAACTAATGTGGATATTCTGGAAATAAGTGGAAACAGTCATAACAAAGAAATAAAAGATATGAAAAAGAGCTGAATGAAATTTAAAACAAAAACATTCAAAAAATGTATTAGATGAGCTAAATGGCAAAACAAAGATGACAGAATAAAATCAATTAACTTGAATGTAGATCAAGAAAAATTACCCCTGCTGAAAGACATAAAAAATTGAAGACTGAAAAAATAAGCAGTGCTTCAGGGCCTGCAGACATTTATATCATTAGCATCCCAAAGAAGAGGAGAAAAAGGATGATGCAGAAAAAATATTTAAAGAAATGTGGAAAGCTTTCAAGTTCACCAAAAGAACTGAGCTTGTAAAGAAGTTTAGTATACCTAAAATAAAACAAACACAAGGAAATTCACTATAACATCTATAATAATCAAATTGCTGAAAGCTAAAGAAAAAGAAAAAAAAGTCTTCAAAACAGCCTGAGAAATCAGAGGAGGAACACACAATTCAAATGACAGCAGATTTCTCCTCTGGAACTATGGAGGTCAGAAAAAAGTGGCACATTTTGAACCGCTAACAGAAAAACTTCCAAACTCGAATTCTATATCCAGAAGAAAATCAGAAATGAAGGGTTAATAAAGACATTTTTGAATTAAAGAAACTAAATATAAATTATTTCCAGAAAATGTGTTCTAAAAGAATTCCTTAAGGAAGTTCATTAGAGAGTGGGACAGTGATATCAGAAGGAAATTAGGAATACCAGGAATGCATAAAGAGCAATAGAAATAGTAAAATTCTCAGTATAAATAAGAGATTGTCCCTTTAGTTCTTTAAAATGTGTTTTATGGTTGAAAGCAAGAGTAACATCATCTTAGGATTTTTCAATGTATTTAATAGATTAAACACAGAAGACAACTGGAATATAAAGAGTAAGGAAAAGGATCCCCCATAATAGTAATATTTCTACATTTGAGTCTAAGTGGCAAACTACTGATTCTTCCTAGACTCCAAAAAGTTAAAAAAAAAAAAAAAAAAAAAATATATATATATATATATATATATATAATAAATAATCCATAGAGAATCACTAAAAATCTACACAAAGATAAAGTAAAAAACACAAAAGATAAGATGGGATATTAAAAATGTTCAAACAATGGATGGCAAAGGAAATAGAGAGAAAAGAAACAGACATAAATAATAAACTAGTATACTTAAATCTAAACATAAGAAATTAGTGAACCTACATTTGGACATGTTTTTGTCTACATGAACATGAACAGGACCCAACTGCATGCTCCTACCAAAAAAAAAAAAAAAAAAACAGCACTTCAAATATAATGATGTGAGAAGGTTAAAAGTAAAATCATAGAAAAAATGTGCCATGCAAACATTAATTACAATAAATTTGAATTTAATGTTTATGGTCATTTGAGTTTTTGAAAAGGGGATGGATCATTCAGAGGAGTCAGAAAAGCCATTGGGATCATTTCAACAAATTGTGCCAAGACACCAGTATAGCCTCATGCAAGAGAATAAATTTGGACCCCTCCTTTACATCATACACAAAAATTAAATCAAAGTAGATCAATAGAAATAAGAGATAAAAATTAACAAACATTTAGAAGAAAACAAAGAGAAAATCTTTGTGACTTTGGGATAGAGGTCAGGGTTTTTAATTGTTGGTGCTATTGACCTTACAGGTCAGATAATTCTATTGAAGAGCTGTTTTGTGCAATGTAAGATGTTTAATAATATTCTTGGCCTTGCTATCCATTAGACTCCACTAGCAACCCTCTTTCGTGTTGTGACAGCCATATATGTCTCCAGATACTGCCAAATGTCCCCTGGGGGTCAAAATTTTCCCTAGTCATGAACAACTGGTTAGGCAAGGATTTATTAGATTCTATACCAAAAGCACACAGCAATAAAAGCCAAGAATGATAAATTAGTATTTATCATTAAAAATTTTTCTCTTTGAAAGACTTCCATTAAGTAAAAACACAAACCACAGTTGAGAGAAAACACTTGCAAATCATATATCAGAAAAAGATCTTGTTTCCAGAATATATAAAGATATCTTGCAACTTGAAACAAGAAGTAAACAACCCAATCAAAGTATGGGCTAAGGGTTTGTATAGATATTTTCCCTAAGAACAGATATTAATGGGTAATGAGTACATAAAATATGCAGAATATCCTTATAATCATTCTAATTTTCATATGCCTGATTAGTCCATCATGAGACACCACTATAATGGCTATAATAAATGAAAGATTACTTTTAACATAAATGTGGAGAAACTGAAACCCACATAAATGGTTGGTGAGAAGGAAAAATGATACAACCACTTTAGAAAACAGTTTGACAATTTCTTAAGAAATTACACTTACGAGTTTGTAGCAATCCCTTTCCTCAGTATCCACTCAAGGGAAATGAAAACCTATATTCATGCAAAGACTTTCATGTAAGTGCTCATAGTAGCATTATTCATAATAACAAAACCCAGAAATAATCCAAATTCCATTAACTGATGAATGAACACAAAAATGTATATCCATAAAGTAAAATATTATTCACTAATAAAAATTGAACTACTGATAACATGCAACATGGATGAGCCTCAAAGACATGGTAAGTATAAAAAGTCAAATATAAAAGACTCTTATTTTATGGCTCCATTAGATTAAATGTCAAAGAAAGGCAAAACTAAAATATAGATAACAGATCAGTGGTTGCCTGTAGAAGGAGTGGAAACTTGGAAATGAAAACAGGTAAGAACCTAGAAAATTGGCATAGTTAAGGAGTTCCAGTCCTATCAGTTATTGTAAAATGTTGTAGAATTACAGTGATTAAAATAGTATGTGATGGGTCCAAGAAGAGACAGATAATTTAATAGAACAATAGAAAATTCAGAAAAAAGAATCAAAGACAGGTAGCCAGTTTGCATTCCTATTTCATCTCTTATATAAAAAAGTATTAAAAATGGATTAAAATCTTAAATAAAAGCATCAAAAGAAAACAGAAAAGTTTGTTAATATGGCATAGCAAAGAATGCTTTACAAAAATCAGACAAAACCCAGCAAATATAAAAGAAAAACTATCTTAGATTTGACTAAATTCTGTATGGCAACACCAACCTAAAACAGAAAACATCAATAAAAAGACCAATGGCAAAGGAAAGATTAGTATTTAATATCACAATGGCTGATTCCTTATAACATATAAAATTCTTAAAAATCAAGAAAGAGACCTGCAACCCAGTGAAAAATTGGCAGAGGTTATGAACAAAAAATTCATCCCCCAAGTAAGAAATTCAAATGATTTTTAAACATATACAATGATATTCACCCTAATTTCTAGTAAAACAAATGTAAAGTAAAGCAACACTTGGCAAAGATCCAAAGTTTAGTGCACTCTTTTGGTTCAAACATGGGGAAATAGGCACTCTCAAATTATTTTAATAGAAGTGAAAATTGGTCAAGCCCTATGGAAGGCAACATGGTAATATATGTCAAATACACATAATCATACACAAAGTAACCTTAAAATTCCTTTTCTAGGTATTTAGCACATATGGGTACATTTGAACCTGTGCAAAATTATATATAGTCAAGGCTTTATTTCCATTGATTATAGTAGCAAGATATTGTCAATTGAAATATCTAAACATAGGGGAGAGTTAAGTTACAAAACCCTCAAACTATGAAGTAATATAAAGCTATTAAAATGTGGCAGCTCTATATGTTGCAGAAGGTATATCCATATATTGATGAATCTTACATCATATATATGTGAGTATATATATCTATATATACAATTGTGACTATTTAGAAAATAATATGTACATTTACTTGTGCATGAATATGCACTTCTGTTAATGAACAAGAAATTGATCAGAAAAGTTTTTTTCTTCAGGGAGCGTACTAGGATGTAGAAACACCCTTAATTTTCACTGTGCATCCTTTTGTGTTTTTGGATTCTGCATTATGCAAACACAATATCTATTTAAAAATAAATACAAATTTATTTAAGGGAACGGTGTTCATATGCACCCCATTTTTATTAGATTCCATCACCTGGATCAACATGAGAATATTTGCATAACTAATCACTTAGCAAAAAAATATCACCTTTAGGTAATTTCTTTGGTGTATTTGTCATCCAACTGTTATTAAAATATGCTAATGTTTAATGCAAATCTCATTAGTTGAAGTTTGCATTGCTGTCCATTCTTTTACTCTTTTCTTTTAAGAATAGATGAATGTATATTTAGAGTGGACAAAAGTGTGTGTGTGTGTGTGTGTGTGTGCGCGCGCACGCGTGTAAGGAGGGACCACAAGTCTATTGTTCCTATTTTAGATGAATATATTACAGACATTATGATTCAGTATTATCTAAAACTGGAATGTGTTGTGTATAAGTTCAACTTAAAAGCTGGCTATAGCTGGGCATGGTGGCACATGTCTGTAATCCCAGCAGCTCAGGAGGCCGAGGCAGGAGGATTGCAAGTTCAAAGCCACCTTCAGAGGATTACAAAACAAATGCCTTTTTCACACACTGTACACTATGTTTGTTTTTAGATTTTTTTCTTCAGTCTAAAGTTTTTGCCTGAATACAGCCTCATCTTCTCTCTTCCCACTCCTGCACAGCTAATTGCCATGTACCAAAATAGTTGTCTTATGTACACTGAAAATCCTATAAGGAGACAGAGCTTGCCAAGAAGCCTTAGGGATATATCTAGTATTGGAACTTCATATTCTGTCCTCTAACCCAAACATGAACCATACACACAAATCACCTGGGTATTTGCCAAAATGAAGCTTTCAATCCAGTAGATCTAGAGTAAAGCTTGAGATTTTGCACTTCTAACAATTTCTCAAAGGATGCCAATGTTGGTAGTCCACAGATAATACTTGGAATAAGAAACACAGTCTGGCTAAGAGTAAAACTGTTGCTAAGGCTGAAGTTAAGATCATACAATTTCTTGTATAGGCTTGATGTAGCCTAATCTGGGTGCTATCTAATCTTGTCTTCCCAAGTTATCCAATGAACCCAGTAACCTAGTTACAAGAGTTACTAACATTACTTACAAAAAAAAAAGAAAGAAAGAAAGAAAGACTCTTTCTCTACATCTTAAGGTTTCTCTTAGGATATTCTTTTCTTTTACCTTCTTTCTTTTCTTTTTCCTACTTTCTTTCCTTTCCTTTTTCCCCCCTGGTGCCGTGGATTGAACCCAGGGCCTTGTGCATGCTTGGCAAGTGCTCTACTGAGCTACATGCCCAACCCTGAAGATAAATTGTTCTAAAAAACCCTAGCCTCTTGTGCCACCCCTTAGTACTTGACTGATAACAGCCATTGTTCCACTTTTCTCAATCAAGAGATAATCCAAAGGGGAGAGAGGCTGAGAGGGAGAGAAAGAGAAAAAGTGGTAGTTGTAGGGATGGTCTCTCAGTTCCCTCACTCCAGGATACAGCAGCAACATGTAAAGTATGCGTATTCTCCAGACTCAAACTGTCCCTTAGGTAAGCAGTTCCAAGGCTCATTGGAAGACTGGTGAAGGAGCAAGAGCTTGGAAGAACACTTTCTTATCTTTATCAGTAATAACAATGATAGATGGATTTTCCATAATCCTTATTGTTTAGTCTTACTTCTCAACTGATTCAGGACTCAGGGTGAAGAGCCATTATTTATTGAATCCATCCAGATTCCCAATACTACTAGACAACAAGCTAAGATTAGTGACAAATTTGAAAAGGTCAAATATCCAAGCCCTCTGTCTCCATCCTCAACATATCCCAGGGATGCTTTCCAAAAGTTCTGCCTTATTCTTTGGTAATTCTGTCCTATCTGAAAGTCAGCCTCAGGCCCAGACTTTGATCTGACTCCTTCATTAAGTCTTTAGAGGTTCTTCATCTGTGTACTCCCATCAATAAATGCAGAAAACAGAGAAAAATATCATTTATATTTCCCTACTTTTAGATGCCTCTGATTGGGCAAAATTTAATTTTACTTCATTCATTATCTCCGCCGAGAGGCACATTCTTAAAATTCTTACTGTTTCCATTCTACTCCTCCTGTGGCTATATTTCCATTCAGAAAGCAAAAAAGAACCTAAAACTCCAATTAACCCGTAGTGTATCTTCCCCAAATCCTCTGACCTTTCTTCCTTACCTTCTCTTGGATCCCTTCATCATCACCAGCAAAGTACAAAATCGGGACATTGAGCTCAGAAGCAGCTACCCATTGAAGAACAGCTTGGAGTTGCTTGTTCTGAACTGTGTCAGATAGGTTGTGATTACTGACAATCACTTTGGGTGCTGTACATCCTTCAGGGGGCTGTCCTGATGCACATCTCAGTTCATTATGGATGGCTTGATAGGCATTTTGTAGGAGAGCCTCTGCTGTTCCTGTGCCTTTGACTGGTAAACACTCATACAAACTCTCTGGGAAGGCTGAATTTGGCCGGCTGGCACCCCCACTTTTCTCATCTCCCAGCTCTGCCAAGGGAGAGTCACAGGACTTGGCAATAATGAGACACAACTTCATCACTGAGTCCACCAGATGATCTACCATTTGCCCATTCATGTTGCCATCCAGCTGGTTGGCAACCATCTTGGTCAGCCCAGAAAAGGCACCAGCCTCATCACCTTCAGATAATTTGGGGGAAGTGGTCGCAGGTCTTTCACCCTGGTTGCAATCTTTTTCCTTATCTGACTTTTCTGGAGCCTTGGATTCACAGCTATTGTCACCCTTGAAAATAGTTTCACCAAGTAAGTTCCGGATAAAATTGAAGAAAACACTCATTAGATCCTTCTTTTCTGATTGTTCTTGGTCACATACCACGTGAGGGGTCTTAAGGCTGGATTCATCTAAAACTACAGGGGTCTTGGTGATGGGAAAGTTGGAGGAGCCAGCAGCTTCAAGGAAGCTCTGTGCATCCATCCTTCCTCCCTGAGCCAGGTGGTACTGAATCAGAAGCAGGGCAGACACAATCAGGTCCTTGGCCCAGGAGTCTGAATCACACATAAAATTCTCTGGTATCTCTGGGAAATGCAGAGAAGGGCTGAAACTGCAAGGATCCAGACACTCAAAGGGAATGTCTGGTGCAGGACTTTTCTGTTTGTTGGTAGCTGCAGGTTCGAAATCTGGAGATTTACACTCTTTCTTTTGAGTTTTATGCCACATAGTCAACCCCTCTTTGATAATATGCTCACCCAGGGTTTCAGCGCAAGTCTTCTCCTTCTCTGGTTTGCCTGACGAATATGTCTTTTCTTTCACTTTAGCTTCAGATTTCATTGTAAAGTTCATATTTCGGTCTATTCCTTTCATGGAGAGGAGGGAATAACTCTCTGACTTATCCTTGGTTTTCCGGAGATTATCAGGGAATTTTTTGGCAAACATCACAGTGTATAGTTTACCTAGCATGGCGTCCATGATATCTGTAGCCTTTTGGCTTCCTTGAGAGAAGAGACTTCTTTTCACAGCTGAGATAAAGTCTGTATCAGTCATAAGGGTCCCGGTGACATTGTGGAGATTCTTCATGAAGGAATCAATGAGATCTGAGACGACTTCTTTTGCATGTTTGATCAGTACCTTCTTTAGTAAGATGGTGGCAATAGTTGTGTCCTTCACTTGGATCCTCAGTGTCTTCATGATGGAGACCATCATATCCGATACCACACTATTGGCATAGGTCATGATCCCTTGACTAACGGAAGCTGTAAAGTCACTAGGCCTTTCCTGCCCACTGAACATCTTTTTCTCCCCAGGTAGGGACTTTCCACCCTCTTTGGCATCACCTGCATTCCGAGATTCAAACACTTCCTTATAGAAGAAAGACTTCTTAGAAGCGGACTTGTCATCTGGACACTTGCTTTTCTTGGTACACTCCTTGATTTTCAAAGTGCTCTTGTACTTCAAATTTGGGGGACTCTGTGATAATCCGGAGGCTCTGTCTCCAGAGCCAGGAGCCTTGTCTGGGGAAGTTGTATTGGCACATGCAGAGACAGTTTCATTCACCAACTCTGATGCTACTGTACTCAGGCTCTTTTTGGGTACAGGTTCATCCCCTACATACAATGATTGATGGACACATTTGTTTTCAGAGCCGTCGATCTTCTCATTGATCTCCTTGCGGGCCATAGCTATGACTAGATTTGTGAGGCGGTTAGCATAGAAGGAAACTTCATCGACTGAACTCCCTTTACCAGCTTGAGGACAGGGGTCCTGGGAGGGAGTCTCTTTGTGAGTTACCTCAAAATGCAATCTCCCTGGACTGCCCTTCTGGGGGTTGTTGAAATAGTCTACACAGAAACCTCTGTTTCCTGGGTTGGCAGTTTCCTCACCAAATGACGATTCTCCAGGCTTGAATCTAATATCTTGGAATTCTGCTGTACTTTTTTCCAGGTCTCTGCGGAGCCAGCTGAGCACTCTGACAGGATCTGTTGACGCTTCCTTAAAAACAGACAAGGTTTCATCCGACTATAACAAAGTAAAGATATGGGATATTCAGGAAAACCTCAAAGGCCAGTTACAAAAAGTGTCACCCCTCAAGCCAGCTCAGTCATCACAAAAAAACAACATATATTAAGTGCTTATAATGTATCAGGCACTCGTCCAAATATTTTAAGACTATTATTTCACTTAGAATTATCCTCATATTAAATCCAAATGTTAGCTCTTATTATCTTAATTTTACAGAGGAGAAAATGGAAGAAAGAGAGGTTAGGTTAGTTACTCATTTGAAGTTATATAGTTAATTGTTGATAGAGGAGGGATTGCAACACAGGCAGTCTGGTTCCAGAGCCCATGCCCTCAGCTAAATACATTCTGTTGCTTCTAAGAACATATGTCCGAAAGATCTGATAGTCACAAGCCCTATAGAAGAGTTAGTTAGCATCTGAAGTGAATCAGATTTTCTTTCTTATATTGATATTAACTGCTATTGTCTGTGGCTTACACATTTCTATTTAGGTCTCATTGTAAGTACAGTTTTTAAAAAAATTGAGAAAATTCAAGGAAAATTGTGCATGTTGAATCACTATGCCAGGCTCCATAAGCACAATGTGGATATGCTTAATGGCTTTCCAGTGGTCTAGCCGATACCAATTAAGTTAATAGTCTGATTCAAAATTGAGGAGTTTTTACCTTGGGCAGTTTATTAGTTCTGTGTGAATACAGATTGATGGACACTAGCTATGATAATTAAATGCATATAGTGTATGTAATCTGTATAATGAAAAGCTCTTCACTTGAATATAGAATAAAATAATGTTTGTGGAAGTGGCTTATGTATTATCAAATGTAAAGGATCCTTGTAGTTTATATGCTTATCTAGAATAACCACATGTATGGTTCATCTTTAAAGAATAAATTAGTATTTTTATTACTGAATTACTAGTATTTCACTAAATTAACAGTTTATTACTAAATTAAAAGTTACTAGCTACCATTTGTTAAATACTTGTAGTGTCTGCCAGGGACTGTGCTAAATGGTTTTATATATTATTTAATCCTCATACTCACCCTATAACAATGTTTCACTCTTCCAGCTTCACAGGTAAGGGAACAGAGACAGAGAAGCTGAATGATTTGGCTAGCATCTCACATAGAATACCTGATGGGGGCTCTTGTTCAAATATAGTTCTTCCTCTAAAACTGGACTCTTCCCCCAGGGCTCCTTATTGTGTCATGGAAAGGAGAGGAGCAGTTGCACTAACCCTCTGCTGAGCTGCTTTAAGCTTCCTGTTTTCATGTTTGGGCTAATAGCTAATAGTTAATAGCTTGGTTCAAAAATCTTCCCAATGGTTCTCTTGAATAGGATAGGAAATATGTTGTGCTTCAGTGGAAAACTGTACATTATCTACAGTACATCCTTCCACATTATCTGACTCTTATTTTCTTGGAGCTATTTTATAACACTGTAAACTGTACATAACTGACAGCAAGAAAATATAATTCTTGCTATAGACAAGGAGAGGTTTGACTGATTGTTTTCCTCTTCACAGTTTTGCCTCCCCTACATAGAATTTAATTTTTCTTATCTACATGTATTTCTTGAACCTTATCAGTTTCTTTTTTAAAAAATCTTTAACATCTGTTCATATATATATATATATATATATATATATATATATATATATATGCCATTATTTTACCCTTCTCAAAAAATTATTGTTTGGTGATTTTGGGTCTCCCACCAACATACCCAGTAGATTCAATTAATGGATTTAATGTATTCTAATATACCTATGCTAGAGGGAAAAAGTATTTTTATAGAGCCTAACCTCAGAAACATTTTAGGAACTCAAGTTCACATAAGTTAGGTAAACCTTTGGCAAATGAGAAAGGGTTAAAAATTTTGGTTTAATAAAAGCATCTTTGTCTTTTCTGATTTATCACTATTAAGCAAAATACAAGTCCACATTTTTATTTTACTTCACTTGTTCTTTATAAATTCATACAAAGTTATACATATCCAATAATCTAGCATTACTTCTATTTAATATTTAAGCTGATGAAAATTTGTGTTTCACTTCACCAGTTACTGTGTTTTACAGTGTGTTGGCTTGGTGATAGCTTTCCAATCAATATCTTACATAATACTGAATTATAATTCCAATACTGAAGCACTTAAGGCTAAGCATAAAGTTTATATGCTTTTTTCTTACTATAGTGAGGTTATATCTTTGGGTTTGTTAATAAATATGTTCATTTTTATCACTTAGAGATGTTGCAGCAGGGATGTGTGGCTGTAGAAAGCTGACTTCACGTGTGTCCCTGAGTTCTGCTGATCTGCACTTCAGCTGGTGGGAGGGTTCAGTTATATACTTCTACCCCTCACTCATTCTCTTTGTGAAGTATAAAGAATACAAAGTACTCTGGTTAAAAGTTCTGATTAAAACAAGTGGTAGAGACTATCAGAAACAATAGTTTTAGAGAAAGCAAACTGTGCACAGGTCTGTTTTTCTAAGATTGCAGATGAAACCGGGTGGAGTCTGTTTTCTTGGGCTTGATTTTCTGTTCTCACCATAGAAAAAAAACAGATGCTTTAAAAAAATCCAATTTCTCCTGAAAACTTCCAGAAAAACAAACTTAAGGTGGTCAACCTAGTTGACTACTGCATCTATGTAATCAGACCAAATCTGATGAGAACAGCCTTATTTTGTGATTAAGAAAAATCTTACATTGCAATTATTTTTATCAAGATGGAGGAGAGACTTGGGAAAAAAATTTGTGCTTCAATAGAAAACTAGGTATCATCTATAGATTACTATCCATAGACCAAGCTTTGTCTCCAGCCTTACACATTATCTGATTCTGATTCAGTGGGAGCTATTTTACACTCTGTAAGCTCTAAATAATGAAAAACAATGCAAAAATAATTTTTGTCTGCAGACATGCAAATTCTGCCCAATGGAGGTACAGCTGACCCCCCCTTTCTCATAGTGGAAGAGGCCAGTTTTGCCTCTGTTCATTCATTTCAATATTTCTGATATATAAATATCTTTTCCAATTCTCCTTTGAACTGATTATAACACCTCACCAATATCCTCACTAATGAGCTAAATAAAATCTTTAATGTATATTCATTTTCATATCTGTATGAGGGTGTTGATTTTGGCCCTTGGTAGAAAATTACCTTTTAATATTACTTAGTTATTTACTTTAGGACACATACACAAATAGGCATGTTTCCACAATTAGGCTGAACTATTTACAGTGAAGCTCTATAATGCAGATGTGGGGTTTATTCTTTAATTCTTGTCAATTTTTTTTTTCACAGAACACTAAACCACAATAAACCTACAGCCTAGAGCTTTACAATGGTGTGCATAGAATTGTGTCAGCTTGCTGTGTTTATAGGTTTTCATTTTCTGTTTGTTAAAATCTAAAATGTGTACAACCTATATCAATTATTTCACCAAATTCATGAGAAATTTGCAAAAGTGGTTGATCAAGCCAAAGTGACTGAGTGGAAAACTAAGTACTCACATTTCCTTTTCTGTAAATACATCTACCACCCATCCTTCAGTCTCCTTTGGCTTCCTGCAGCCATCCCCCTCTTACATAATAGTATTCTGGGAAGGAGGATGCCAAATCTTTTCAGTCTTTCTTAAGGCCAAGCAAAATTTCATGTCCATGAAGGAGAATAGAGAAAAGAGTTGATGGGTTTAATTTTCTCTGCTCAGCCATCTTCTGCTTCAGCAACTTAGTTTAAGCCAACTGTAAACTTCCCTGTCCTGTTTTTCTTCTCCATATCTAAATCAATCAAATATACCCCCATACAATTTTCTCTGGCCAACTCTCATTTTGAAATGATCCATTCTTAAAACACCTAGAGTAATTACTGTCTAGAAAATCCACATGGCAAAAATCACGAACTGTCTTTTATTAATATGCAGTAGTTATTTAGAGCCTTTAAATTACATTTACATTTTCACATGTGAATGGAAAAGCTCATAGGGACAGAAATTGTTCTGTTCTTTTTTGCATTCCTCAGAGTGCTTCATGAAAACATCAAGGAATCTTGGTTCACTTGATTTAACACTGAAACTGATCTGCCTTTTAATTCTCTACATAGAAAGGCAGGGGTCAATAAAAGATTAAACAGAAGCATTTTGGGGTTGACCCATATACTATCGAAATTCAGTATTTATTGTCCATAAGTTTTAAAGCCTTTTGTAGATTTGTTAATGTTTTCTTTTTTAGGTTCTTATGGATGAGAAAATAGATTTGGGACAAATAGAAGATGGATCATATAATATTATATGCAAAAAAAGTGTCTGATAGGGGCTGAGGTTGTGGCTCAGAGGTAGAGCGCTCGCCTACTATGAGCGAGGCACCGGGTTCAATCCCCAGCATCACATAAAAATAAAGATATTGTGTCTACCTATAACTAAAAAATAAATATAAAAAAGTGTATGCTAAATGTTAATGCCAAAGGCAAAGATTGCAATAGTGATTGCATTAGATTTACAAGATCCTTAAAGACAGAGAATTCTAATTTATTTTTGTCTCTGACCCTAACATCCCACAGTGTCTATGCCAGTTATTTATTGTCTCTAACTCCATATCCACCCCACTTTGCCTTGCTTTGTGATGCTTGGGCTGGGTCCTTCAAAAATTTCTCTTTTGGCAGCTGTCTTTATGAATGAGGCACTGCATGGTCATGGCAGAAGGAAAGGGCTACCCTTCTGGCCCCTCTGCAGCCTCTGCCAAGCTTCCTGTGGTAGCCTCACTCCCTTCACCTGAAGCAGCCTTGGTTGAGAGGGAGGGAGTTTGTTGAGTTCTTAGTTTCCTCCTTATTCACTCTTTCTCAGCCTGTGGGTAGTACCTGCTTTCTGCATTTGTTATTTCTCAGTTCCTAAACTTCTCTTTTATGTGTTTTAGCAGTTAATTATCTTTTACTAGTAAACACTTTTTAAATATTAAATTTCTAGCGTGGTTTCTTTTTTTGCGAGGGAGGGATATGGGGATTGAACTCAGGGGCACTTGACCATTGAGCCACATCTCCAGCCCTAGTTTATATTTTATTTAGAGACAGGGTTTCACTGAGTTGCTAAGTTCCTTGCTTTTTGTTGAGGCTGGCTTTGAACTTGAAATCCTCCTGTCTCCGCCTCCGGAGCCTCCTGCACCCAGCCTACTGGTGTTCTATTCTCTGATTGGATCCTGACTAATACAGTGCCTGATAGTAAGTAAACATTTAAAAAATGTTTGTCGAATAGTAAAGGTAGACTGAAAGTGCTCCTGAGATGAAAGTTTAAAGTTCTCAGAATTTTAAGGCATCCCACACATTTCAGAAAACATTTTCTACAAGACCTGGAGAAACTTCCAATCTTTGTCTGTCTGAAAACTAAACAAAATTCCACATGTAATACATTCCTTTTTTTCTATTAGTTATAGCATATATAACTAATGGAAAAGCTATATGATGGATAATTTTTCCAATACAAAACTACAGAATTTGTTGGGAAAAATTGGGAAATTTTTATTCCAAAAGAGCTCATTTTTTTCTTAAGAATCAAGCCATAGTGACTGACTGGAAAACTAAGTACCCACATTTCTTCTGTCAATACAGTCTACATCCATCCCTTCAAACTCCAAAAATAGAAAGAGGTGGGTGGTGGTGGTGGTAGAACGAATAAGGCTACTCTTGATGAGCCCACATATCTCTAGTGTTCATTAAGAGGTTGTTGCTTACCATTTTCCAGTCCTGGGGTTGGCTGTCTCCAGGAGAATAGACATCGACTTTGCATACTCCATTTTGGCTTTGTAACCAGTCAACCCTTTCTGACATCTCGAAGTAGAAAGAAATGAAAATAGTCGTCAAAAGGAAAGGTTATATCAAAATAAGGAGAAGAAAGGTGAATGGCTGGACCACCCACAGAGCAGGCCCAGCGGCCTGCTGAGGGGCAGAGCCGC